ACACTTCCTCCCCCTCCCCTACCCCGGGAGTTGTGCATACGGGCCAATATTGTCTTGAGGATCCTCATCTCTTTTATGTTTCTGTATTTCCATCGACTTTTCTAATTACGAAAGAGATCTCAATATTATATATGGGGATTTTCCTACTCAACTACTCAATCTCTTTTAGCGCGACCCCACATTCCGTGCGCAATCAAGATAAGTGCTTCTCGATCGTTTTCCATTTTCACCAATAATTGCCTCTTAATTCGTGTAGACATAGGGAGCCCTATATCTGCAACTGTTCGCCTCGTTCTCAATTTCCGTCTCACAGTTGACAAGTTATCGCCAATTTAACCGAGCACTACAGAAGAAGACCCGGCGGAGCAACTCCAGAAAAACACACCCGCTTTCTAGAAGAGACCAGTAAGTATTCATCTTTATTTTCGGCGCTTCTGCCAACTTATAAAGAGAGTTCGTTCAGAATTGTTTCTTCTCTATAGGGGCGTGGCCCGACGGAAAGCGAGATGCGAAGTCTGCGAGGCAAAGATAGGGCGGCTCGGCCCGCTTCATGAAGGAGTGTTCGCAGTAAGCACCCCGAAGAAGGGCAGCTTGGGCCTGAGATGAAAAGATCTTCGGAAAAAGGAGTGCCAATTATTAAAGTGTATCAGGCTATTCATCAGTCAGTGTGCAGAGGGACAGCTATCCCTTTCCAAAAAACTCGTTCAATGTCTCGGTAAAGAGACTTTTGGATGGTTCAAAACTCAGGTTATACCAACAAAAAGCGTCCCTCAATTATTTTTTATATTGGCCAATAACGAAATATAAACAGAAAAAATTTGTAGAACAATGGCAGAAGAAACATCAAAGCAGATGTACCTACTCAAGAAGTAGTTTAAGAACAACAAACAAGTTCGACCATCATTGAACAAGGATACTTCGACTTGTTACTTGCCAATTCGAAGATAGCGGAAGCATTGGCATGCAAAAGGAAGGCAGAGGAGGGACCTTCAAGGCATCAATTTCAATTTTGGAGTGCACCCTAACCGCACCTCTATCCTTTACCAAACCAAAGCTACAAAAGCAACTCGAATTCAAGTACCCAATCCTTCAGAATTCAATCCCGGTAGCCAAAGTGGCACCCGAGGAGTTTCAAATTTAAGCAAAGTTCGGAAAGATTGCACTGACACCAACGCAAGGAAGCGCACTTCTGGCCATCGCAGATAAGGATCCCTCAGTTGGGGAATTCTCCGAGCAACATAGCCCCGTTCTCGCGTTCTACCTGGAGCAAAAAAGGTCGTAGACGAAAGAACCCACGAGAAAAGGATTGGTATGGTCGGACCTCAGCATCACCCACTCTACACCATTGTTCCAGATCTTCCAGCAGGGGAAGCGACTGGGTCCTCGCTCCTCCCTCCACCAAAGTCTCCGCACCCTACTTTTACAGGATTCTCGGCAAGACCCGCTTCTCAAAGTCGCCTCGAATCCTTTAAAAAATCCAATCAAGACCTTTATTTGGAATGATCCAGATGCTTCAAATGCTGACAAATTGGACACTTCAGTACACAATGCCCAGGAAATCCGAAAAAGTGAGTGCAGAGCAGGTAGCCTGCACGACAAAGCCAATTCTGTTTGTGTCTTCATTTCTCAGAACGCAGCGGTTGGTGCTAAAGAACGGCCTCAATCGCGGTACAGCCATCAACCAGAATTATTCTTTATCGGGCAGAATGTAACATCAGCTTCATAATTTCCCTTCGTTGTACGTTAGGAAATCTTCTCAAAAACGTGGCCACACAAGAGACAATAAAGCCAGACTATAAGTATCAATCCAATTTTGGTGGCCCAGGTGAAAAGTTAAATTATTCATTCGCGCGCTCATTGCTCTGAGCAGCGGCGTCCGCCTTTTGCTCTGCGTCCAAATTTTGCTATAGCCCTACTTACTATTTCTTCCGTAATTCGGCCGATTGATATATAGTATTCTACTGCTCCTGCCTGCCTTGTGCACCGTCAGGAATCGATTCATATGCGTTGTCCCTAGTGGCAGGGGATTTGGATGTCATATCGAATTGCCACTTTTGCAGGTGATGCTTTGGGTGAAATCGATTGTCTCGACTCCAATTGATCTGTTCCGTTTGATCTCACGTGACGATCGAAGGGTTTTCCCACCTCACCTTATTGTAAAATTTCTTATTTGGGCAAGAAACCATCATAGCAGGAGACTTTTGAGTTCAACTTTCTGACCCTTCAACCTTTTCTTCCACTTGCTGAGAAAGAATAACCCCTGGATTCCAAAAAGAAAGAAATTAGTCATCGTCCCAACAGGAGCAGTACTCCAAGAGAACATTCCTCTTTCCCCTTTCGGCAGCCCAAAGCTGGATTTCCTCTCCGCCTTTGCCCCCATTCTCTTTTTACTCCTTCAGGCATCTAACTTTTTTTTCAATTGTTCATTGCGTAGGAACAAAACGTAAGTTTTTTGAAGAGCATAGGAGATCAAAATGAAATGTTGTATTCCCGGCGGCTCTTGTGCATATCGGGACCAGTTGACGCTTTCGCGTCGTGGCCAAGCCTTTGAAGGCCGGTGAGGAGAATACTCCCCATTCCGGCTTCGTTTTTCGTGACGTTCCCCCTCCCCCTCCGCTTCCTATAAAGGATCGACGGGCAATAAAGTCCAATATCTTGCAGAACCGGCCCTGCCCCGTTTAGCGGCGGCCTAGGCAGCAGCTCAGTTTGCCAAGGGAAGAGGCTTCAAGGAAGGTGGACAAATTATACAAGCATGCATAGACAAAGTCATTGCGCCCGGCACCTTGAAGAAATATAGACGAGTCAGAACGACGGTTTCTCGAGTTTTGTCAAAATTGGAGGATCGCTGTCGAAAGTCTCCTAACTAAGGTGTAGTTTCATCGCACACTCCATTCAGAGAGGAGAAGACTCCTATTTTACCACGTAGTCACCTTGTCGCATTTTTTGGAGCTGAACTCCAATCAAACATCGTAACAAGGCAGCTGAGAAAGACGGGAACGTATCTTGAAAATCGCATCGAGGAGCGGAGCCGCTGATGACGTGACGCCGGTGCCACTATGGTAATGCTGGCCTTTTCGGGACCGACAACTCGCAGCTGGACGGAACGTCTACAGCCTTTTTCAGATACTTCTCGATGTTTACCTTATTAAATCATATCCCTCGAGCTGTGCCTTTTGTAGTTTTTTGTTTGCTTTTATAGTATTGCCATTATTTTCTCAAAACAAGTTCGTCACGACCATCAGCCTATACTTGTTTTGAATTCGATCTCCTAAGACTTACGTGATCGTGTCGTTCTAAGTTGCAATACGTTGTTATTTCCTTCTGCTATAAGATACCCACTTGAATCTGCCTTGGTATCGGTGTACTTAGAAAACAGACAACTAGTCGGAGAGCCTCTCAGAAGTTGTTGTTATTATTGTAATTGTATCTCATAGACACCAAGATTTTTTTGGGTGTATATGTTGTGGATGTGTTACGGTCACATTGTGGCGTAAACCTAAACGATAAAGTCTAACAGTGACTGTTTTTGGTGAAAGGGATGTCCCCCCCCCCCCCATTTTGGTATTGTAACGGTGCGAAACTATAGGTTTCGACCCCGTTGTGGAGCTTTTTGAACACATTTGGCATTCCGTTGTTCGCGAGTTTCGAATATCCTCTGGAACCAAGCACATTCCAATGATATAAGGGAGGCTATGTTTTTTTCTTACTATTCCAAATCAGTTTAACTCTGCAGTTATGTATTTTTAGGAGAAAACACTTTGGTATATTGGCAACTGTTTATGAGCGTGACGTCGGAACGAATCCAATCTACAATATTTTGTCTAACTATAAAAAGTAATCATGACTCCAGATCTCCTCAGTAGAGAGAGGTTTTTCTCTGCCGTTACGAAATTTGAGTAAGACTGTGCCAACGTCACCAAACTCTCATACAACCAACATAATCTGTAATAGTTAGAGGCATGTTCCAACGTCAATCATGCAAAAATAAATACAATACAATATAATACAATATAAAGCGCACCAGTATTGAGCATAAGTGGACCATGGACTTCGAAAGACTAGAAAGTCACAAAGAATATGTAAACAATGGGAATAGACACAGATCCGAAGAATCTCAAAATCTCGGGAACGTGAGGCCGATGAGTGGATATTAACAATAAAAGATCTTAATCACAGCTCGGTTGATTGAAGCGGTGGTTGAGTGGGAGGTGGTGGATGGGCTGCTGCACGAACGGTGGCCGAAGCGGCTACAGTGGTGTAGTAGGGGTTGATTTTCCTGAAGTATGATGGATAGGTGTCTAAGAATGAAGTGCATCGACACATTCTTACTGTGTTGGCTGGCGACTGATCGAAGCATGATGAGCAGCCGCTTGAGCGGCAATGTGCCGCAGTTTGCGAGCGTAGGAATGTCGTTGGCGACAGTACAGACAGATGCAGAGCATTAACAGTATCACCACGGCTATCAAAACACCAAACTGGAATGATGTCATATCACGATTAAGTTCGAGAGAGCGGATTCTGCTAACGTACAGGTATTGGGCCTTTGAATAATCTCTAAAGAGGATAAGAAAGAAGGCCATCATATGACTACTCCTCACTCTGCACCCCTTCTAAGCTATCCTTACAACAATGTCGAGCAGAGAAGAAAGCCAGATGTTCGAACAGGGTTTTTTATATCGAAAAAGGCTGTTTATTTATTCGTACTTTTTCCTCTCCTATTCTCTTTACTACGCTTCGAAGAACATTTTCAACGAGAAATGTTTGGAAAGAAAATGAGCTTGAAAACTCACAATAATGACTTCCAGAGCCTTTGGCCCACTGATATTCACCGTATCAACGTCGCGTAGGCCGTAAGCATTATGAAGTTCGCGACGAGAGGTACTATTCGAAGACATCAATCTTCTAAAGCTCGGAAAATCATAAAAGCGGGTGAGGTTGAGAAAAGTCACAAATTGCGATGACATAATGTATTGTTAGAGGGCTTCGCACGAAAAGTGACTATGGGGCTTGTGAACGAGTAAATGCCCGCTCTCATCGCCTTGGGCAATTTTAAATGGGATTTCAACGCAATCCAAAAAAGGATGTGTGGCACACGATCAATTCTATCCCATGATTTTATCAACAATAATTAATCCTCCAACAGATGAAAAACTGCTTTGTAACCAACCTCATTGCTCTCTCCACTGCAACGAATTCTCCATTGCGATCTAGAAAATGGGCCAGAATAACTGTGAAATTCGAATTTTGACGACATCGATCAACGACGGCAGTCAGCGAACTGGCGTTCGATAGCAGCCTGAAAGAAGAAAGGTTTTTCAATTACTTCCTCTTTAGCGGGCCCTGCCAAGGCATATGCACATCCCGATCACTTTGACTATCAGTGTGAATCAAATGCACGGCTTATCTCATCCACATCCTTCTCATTAAACATTCCTTCCTTTTCTTCTGAGAAATTATTATTACAGGTTTCTTTGCTAAAACTAACCTTTCAATATTCTTCTGATTTCGCTTGATGAAATCGTATGGGGCATCGAATAACAACTCGGACTGTTGCGAATATGCGACTACCGAGATCTGAAGAAAGCAATTTTATGAAATCAACACTCTACCGAGGTGCAGATAAAACACAATCCGGCATAGGACTCACAATAACATTTGCCGAATCCTCATGGCCAGCGCCATCAGTAACGATCACGGTGAACGAGTAGGACGTTTCACGTAGCGCTTCAACTGCGGTCAAAACTCCCGTCTTTGCGTCGATGGAAATGGGAGATTTCGAAGCTCCGTAGCTCTGTAAAATAAAATCTTAGGAAGGTCATGAAAACACTTTTCTTTGGGATTTCAGTACACAGGGATCAAATTGAAGACAAAGCACGAGAACCCTGCTTTGCGGATGGCGAGCGCAAGTTCTTGACTGTAAAGGACCACACACCCGGAAAAAGATCCAAGTGAATCCATGAGGTCTCTTGAAGCTAATTTGGGTGTGTTATGAGCGGATGTGCTGCCTTCTGGTAGCAAAATACGGGCTAAATGATGTGCAATTGAGACTCAAAAACCGAGTACCGAAAAAACTCCATTACAGGGCGGGTAGAAATAGCCATCAAGGAGAGATAGACTCCACAGAGAAACACTGAGTGGTGTCTGAATGAGAAAAATGGGGATCTCTGTGTGATAATTAGTTGTAAGTGGTGTTCGATTAAAGCCGGTCGGACTTCGAATCTTGATGTTGTGGCCAACAAATGTTTTGTGACTTCACTTTAATTATACAAGATCGCCCAGGAAAGTTTGATGTCTTCATTCAAACACGATCGGAAGCGACGAATCCGAAATGAAAATTTGCTGACATATAGAAAGCCTCATTTCCCTATTTTCTGAAGCGTTTTGTTAGTTTCTCCGTCATTGACGCACTAATCACCACTCTCAGATTCATTCACCACCGTCTCTGCCTCCAATAGAGAAAGAAAATGATCTAACCTGTCTAGGAGTTCTTACAGCTCCTGATATAGCATATCGGAGACCTTGTTTCTCCTCATCTGGATCAGTTGCATGTACTTTTGCCAAGTGGCTGCCTGGAGATGCCTGTCCCTGGAAATCAAGCGTAAAAAATCAATTTACTTATGGAAGGGTTTCATATGTTGCAGTGACAATGATTCCTGCAGCCGAGGAGATAAGTTTTAGCAAATGGTAGGCCAATTCTCGTTTTTTTACTGAAAGTAACGATGCATAGAAAGAGTTTCATACACGCAATACCCTTTTGGCCCTTCTCCACCACCAAGGCTGCAGGTTGTAGCCTCCATCCTGACCGTCTCTTTCAAGGCTCAGTGGCTCTACCCTCCCATAAGCACTCATACGCATTCAGTCATAAAATTGGCTCATGAGAAAGCCTGAAGCATTCTCAAGAGCTCTTTTGCAATCCAATAACACAGCGTGACATTGACCAAGCGGTTTACTAAGCTCAGGGAAGCAGGTAGCAAAAGGAGCAATGAAAACATCAAGCAGTAATTAGGAAAATTAAGATTACCGAGCTCTATCCCTACTCTTTTGATTCCGCTTTGTCTTCACAAGCGCCTCAGTAGTTTGGGCTCTGTAGAATACCGTGAGCAACGGTCAGAGTCATACCACCAATGTGAAAAGACCATGATCAAAGTTCTCCAACACACAAGGGCAGAGTGGAATCAGGGGTTCCGACTTTGCCAGTGAATTATGCAACATTAGGGACACCATAGTCGAGGGTTAAGAACAGAGCAGAAGGAACTGTTTTGCGACTAACTACTGAATGTGGACTATAAATGAAGCTGAGCTGTGAAAACACAGGATGAAATTTTTTAAGATTATAAATAGTTTCTGATTGGCTTCACTATGTGATTTTCTTGTCATCACTACCTGGACAACAGTGGCATGGTAGGACTTCTCAGTGAACTTCGGGAAATTGTCGTTGACATCGTCAATCGTGATAACCACAACGATTGTCCCATTCACTGGCTTTTTGGGATCATGACATGCTAGCTGGCAATCATAGGCGATGACCTGAAAATAATCGGACATTGGTGAGCCCACATTTATAAGGAGCCAAGCAAGCATGATGCAAACATTCTGCCAGACAGAAAACTTCTATGAGTAAGTAAGTGAAAAGGTTATTACTTCAAACACTTACATTGAATCGTATTTCCTCGTTTTGTTCCCTGTCAAAGCTTTGATTTGTGTACAGAACGGGGAGAGTCTCGTTCACGAAGAAGAAAAGTAGAGAGTCAGTTGTGTAGCAGACCTGGAACGCCACTACTTAGAATAATCAACACTTTAGTAGTCAAGTGGATGTTGGCAACATTAACAGCGTCTAGACTATATTTTTTTTTTGTAACTGCAGCATCACTGTTTATGCTGTTAGAGTTGCTTCTGCTATAATACTAAATTTTAAATTTAGTTCATCAAAGAGGCTACTGAGAGAGTTAGGACAAAACGCCAGGTCTCTTGGGTGGGCTTTTACCCCGATATCCTAGGAAGGCAAGATATAACTGACAACATCCTTCCTGTTTGCAGCAAAAGGAAGGAAAGGATTTGCATCGATGCATTCTCGTACATTCATGAATTCATGAGTCATGAAGAATAACAATGCAACGGTGATCAATGAGCTCCAAATTCGTTGGCTCGGCTCGCAGTAGTGTATAACTGTACTAGTAGATATCTCCTATCGCAAATATTCAGCGACCCATTTTCAAACATCAATACACATTTTCAATAGGTAGGGGTCGTAAAGTTCTCCTTCTATTCATAGCCCCTTCAGTGAAGGAGGGTTTTTGAAGGTGAGGAAAACTAACTGTGATAAGTAAGCAGTATCCTAATAGATAAAACCTTGTATAGGATTCCCAGAAAAGTGAAACCTTCACCTTTGTATGGTCGGCATGAAAATCAGCGTCGACGGCTGCTGGAACGTGACCAATTTTTCGAGGAAGGAATGAGCGGTCATTTTCTAATACTGACAGATGGATATCCTGGAAAAGAACAAGGTGAGCTCAGTAAGTGTAGATAAAATTATTAAATTGCATAAATCAAAAGCACCATCAAACAGACGAACAAATAAAGACCACAAGAAGAGAGCAGATCAACAAATGCATGCTTTCCTACACATTTTCGTTAAGGGTGTTCTTCTCAATACTAGAGCAATGCTAGACAAGCTGCTTAGGATAGACATAACGTGTAACGAAGCACAAAAGTTATAAATTTGAGTTTATTTATCTTCTGATGCATTGCAAAATAAGCGAATTTACCTACTGCTGCATGTACTTGGTATGTGAAAAAATAAAATGTGATAAAAAAAAATCGAAGGGGTTTCCGATTAAAAAAAAAGCTATTCTTAAGCATCGTATGTCCAATATGTGTAGCAAGGTAACGGATTTAAACAATACTTTCTGAAAAACGATGGGCGTGTGATTTATTTTGTTTTATGGCGACACATTTTGAATTTGTTACTTCCAGCTCTACTGTTTCCAGTAAGGCGTGTACAGCAATGCTATTCAGCTGCAGAAGAAGATGCTACCTTCAAGGGGAAATTTCTTCGAAATGAAGTGGAAGAGAGATAGAGTACTGTAAAGAATGAACGAAACGAATTAACTCTTGAATGGAGAGATGAAATTAGAAAAAAACGGAGAAAAAAAAGATGACAAAAAAAAACTGAGAAAAAAGGTGTTTTGCTACTCGCAAAGTAGTAAAAGTATCGTTGCACAAGTGAATATTAGCTTGTTTTATAGGTTTTTTGGTTTTTTTCTGGACTATATCTTAGGCTACGAAGACATTCTTGACGTTCTTAGTGACTTGGTAAGAATTAGTTTGTTTTCACTGCTGATTTTTGACGGACAAGTTTCCACCTTATAAGGAAAGCTTAGAATAAAATAACGGTTGAGTTAGAACCAAAAGACTGCGGTTGTCTCGAGATGCATTCGATCTGCAAAACTACGTCGCGTCCCTTTTACCCGTTGCTCCATTTTTCAAGAAATTTAGGAAAACCTCAGGAATAAAACATACATAGCCGTACCTTTTGACTGAAAACGGGGCAGTTATCATTTCGATCATTGACAGAGATAAAGATGTGCACAGAAGAGCAGTTTGTATGACGACACGCCAGGATCATCAGTTCGTAGACAGGTTTCTTTTCAAAATCAAACGGAACCTCACTCGTAAGAGATCCAGAGGAGTTCAGTGAAAAGCGCTCCCAGTCCTTCAAACAGAAGAATTTCTCGTAAATTTTCAAAGAGTTGAACAGTATAATATGTCGCTTCTTACTTTTTTGAAAGTCTCATCGAACTTGTAGGATACTTCATTCATTCTCTCCTCCTCGAGCACCTTGACACGCAGCAACTCGTCGTATTGCTCATTCTCATCGAAATAGTGGATGGACTCAGGCTTAGGATACACTGAATTGTTTGCTGTATGTACATTTGATACACTCCCACCAGAACTGTTAAGATTTACCAATTAGTGGGCTGTTGTGGTTGTTGGACGCCGGATAGACGGTAACGCAATAAGGGTAGGATACCGAAAGAGGCGGTGAGCCAGAGTCGGTAGCCACGATATTTGAGCAGAGCTGAAAAACCTTTGCATGAAAAAAAATCAGTACTTCTCTATAGACCATGTGATTTATGAGGCTGTTAGTGCTATGATGTATGCTTTCCAAAATATAGCAAGTGGATAGTGATTGACTGTTTTTGTCGCTCGAAAGTGATGAAAATAAATTTCCGAGCTTCTTATTATAATATATTAGGTTGAGTCATAAGTCCTCAGACAATGTCAAAGGGATGACTTCTAGAAATCATAACTCGGGAAATAGGTGTCGAAAATGGGCGAGGGAGGCATCTTAGATAGAGTATGAAAAGCTCTTCAGAATGCATGCTAGAGAACACACCTGTTTCCTTTCCTGCAACCATGCCCCATGATTTCAAGCCGTCGCAACTACACCTTCGCAACACCATCCTATTTCTTTTTTTATCTGGTCAAGAACCCGCGGAGATCGATAGACGTGTTAAGGAAGTTTTCAAGAAGGGTGCTCCTGCTAGATGCACAATTCACAAGTGGCACACTAAGTTCACGTCGGACGACCATTCCATCGAAAATGAAGACCGTCCGGGACGCTCAATGAATGGATTTGAAGGTGCTGCGGAGCCAGGTGAAAGCCGATCCGTATCAAACTACTCGTGAACTTGCAGCCACCCTTGAGGAGTCAGTCCACAGTTATTCGTGGATGAAGTCAATCGGCAAGGTGGACAAGCTTGGTCGATGGGTGCCTCATGCTCATGCTGTGTCATCGCTATCATTTTGTCCGAGGATTTATGACTCAACCTAATAACTTTATCAAAAACAGCATACCCGTTCTCCAGCGTATTCTTCCATTTGACCAGCGATAACTAATTGGCGCTTATCGGTTATTCGGAAGAGGGTATGATTTGCATCCAATGAGACGGACTGCTTTCCGCCTGAAAATTCCGTTGTGCGAGAAAGACAGCGAAATTGAAAGAGAAGCACATGGTATGAGCAGAAATACCTTCGTCAGCATCGCTAACACTCAGTACCGTAATCGAAGTATTGATAGGCGTGTCAGCGGATACGGTAAGTCGGCTAAGATCAGAATTATGAATAACGGGTGGATTATCGTTTACGTCGCGGACGAGTACGGTCACCTGAATGCTTAGCCTTCACTGTTGTACGGTGAGAGATATTGTAATCCTGAATTAGGTGTAGATTATATAGTGTTATTCATTACATAGAAATGAGTGAGTACAAGAATTTTCGGGCCTTCGCCCAAGCCTGTTAGCTTTCAAACCCAATTTGACCGTGCTGTAGGGTTGGCAATAACTTCCAAGTAGAGCTCTTCAGGTCAAAGAGTAACTCCGAAACTCCGAACCGAAAACTCGCCTGAAATAGCCGGGGCGCTCAAGCTGAATCCAGCTTGACTAATTTCTGACTATAAGTGTTTCCAACATTCGCAATGCTTGGGCAAGCACAGAAGTGAACTCGACGAAAATACATCAAGTTAGACGTAGTTACTGTTTGAAAGCTGCAACTGGTCATTAACGAATAATGAGGATACGGTACTTTTCCATTCGCACAGCGTAGAAGGGCTCGTACATGACCATCTTCCATACTGACCTCCCATGACTATGGGCTATCAATAAGTGAGGTTGCAGTGAAAGGAGGACTCCTCCCCTCTCCCGTTTTTCACACTAACTACCCCAAGTGAATGAGAAAGGTTGAAGAGAAGGTATGAGAGCGAGTACTTAGGAGCCAGCATTAGGGCAGCAAACGAGATTGACTGCGATCAGTTGGAATTTAGACACCCATTGGAAGCCCTAAGGCTGCTTCCTAACTCCTCGTTTTCAATAAAGTTGACAATTGATAATAGAAAATCACTCAAAGGTCTGAGCAACGGAGGTTTCTAGATGAATGTGCACTTATGAGTTCGAGCGAAAAGAAGAATTTGGAAATATAGTTGTTCCGGTAAGTAATTCTCCACAATTGCCAGTATTCGGAAAAAGGCAGTATTGGGAGTTAATGAGAACTTACCTTTACAGTTTTCAATCATCACACTCAACTATAGAAAAGCTCACCGATGCGAAAACTTCGTTAAACGGCTCTTCCCCAGCATTGTCTACACAACGGACTGTAAGAGAATGCGAACGCTGAGCTTCATAGTCCAATTTCTTCACCAAAGAGATTTCAGATGTACTAAAAACAACAAATAAATCGGAACTATCCCGTGTCCGAAGTTTGAGTCGTGTAGGAATGTTCCGAACCTTCTGTTAATCGTGAAGTGACCATCATCGCCAACCAGAGCATAAAGAAGTCGAGCAAACACCCCGTCATCTCCGTCCCGTGCAAGTGGATACGGTAGCTCCAGTACGGTTCCGATTTCAGCGGACTCATCGATTTGCGTGGTGAAGACTGATCCATTGACGAATACCGGTCTAAACTATGCAAATTGCCATGAGAAAAGAAAAATCCGTGATGGTTTCCGCGCAGAAATCCTCATAAACCAGTTTTCGGAATTCGGAACGATTTTTAGGGACAAGGACATGTGCAGAGTTAGTTGGTAATACCTGTTATCATTGGCGTCAGTGAGAAGGATTGCAAAGTTAGTGAATGCTTTATTTCCGTCTCTATCTGTTGCGATAACTCGTCCCTCCAATTTTCGATAACTCTCAAAGTCGAGTTTTGCTTTGTTCATTATGAAGCCTTCGTCATCGATTTCTAGGAGATCGATGGGTCCCGAAGTGCTCTCTAAAGAGTACCTGAAACGTTGTTGAGGTGAGTAGGTTTTTCACAAAGGGAGAAGTGTAGGATTACAGAAACAGCAGGCACACGAGGGAGGTATGCTTCATTCACAACTTACTTCAAAGGGCTTTCCCCATCGGCATCGGCTTTCACTTGGAGTAGTCGTGACCCAATACGGGAATCTTCAGAGACAACTGCTTTGAAGCTTTTCTTGTTGAAGAACGGTGCAGAGTCGGAAGTGTCCACAACGTTTATGATCAGCTCCACTGAATATCACTTGGAATATGCTAACTACGTTTAATGTCTAACTTGGTAAAAATCAGTTATTAGTTCATTGAAGAAAAAATAGAATTGTGAAGTATTACATTCAACCAACATCACAGGAATGCTGCTGTAACTCTCCTTTACCCGGGTCACATTTCAACCTCTCATGTAGAGAATTGGGTGTGGTAACTTCTCCCCGAGAATCGCATCGCGCTCGCCGCATCCGTTCGTGCGCAATCACGCACACGCTATGAAGGGGAAGGCTTTAATTGCCAGCGCAGGGATACGGTGGCCGTCGCGGAACCACAACCGCATGCTCTAGGAATCCGGACAGAAGTACAACCACCCGGGAAAAGGAGAAACCAAGAAAAGTTCGAAGCAATCAGAGAGTTTTGAGAGCTTTCTGATGTGCAGTGCAAGTTTAACATATATTTATGTATAACATATTTCAAACATAATGACCATCAGCGGAACGACTACTGTCACTTGTTGTGGCGGATGTATGCTGAAATCAACTTGGAAATGTTTAAAACTCAAGTTCTGCTTGGTTATGGAGTTTAAGCAACTACTGTACAACATGAAATCAATTGCAGAAGCCAATAACCGATAACTGTTTTCTCTTGATCGATTCGAAGCCTAACAATTAATAACATCATAGTTATTAGAAAAAAGTAGCCTATAATGAGCAGGTAGGCTGGCGTCAGGACTTATTCCACCCGATTAACGATGCGTGCGTTTTTGGTCCAATAATATCACCTTCACACATGCATGGTATGCGGATCAACTCCTAGATCGATACTCGCCCAAATTCCCATCCCTCTGTGGTTGGCCAGTTGGTACTTGACTCACCCGGTAGGGTAAAGCGCTGACTTTTACATAGCCTTATCACCGCAAGTTATTGTGTAGTACAAGTAGGCAAACAAGTAAACATCACTACACTCGTAAGAGGAAGTCGAATGCGGAGCACACGCTCTGGACGGGATCGATAAATACCAGAAGCAATCAATACCCCCTTTGAAAAAAACCAAAGTTGGAGATCAAATCACAACTCATACCTGGAACTTCCCGTTTTCCCTTTCTCATACTTATATAGAGATGAATCTGTTTCACTTTCACTGGCAGAGGATGCTTTCTTGTGTGGATCCTTCCCGTGTTCTTGTCAATCTCCAGCCACTCTTTTACTTCGTCGTCCTGAGAATCAGCTTGACAACGTTACATAAAAATCGCAAAAAACAACAGTATGCACTCACTGGAAATCCATCCGTCGTTGCACTTAAAATCTCGTAAGTGTAGCCTGTCATACCAACATTCGGCCATATGATTTCCCGTCTGTAATAACTACAGATATCTCTGATAATGGGTGGCGTTCGACTCCGCACATGCTTAGTGCACTAGGTATAGCATATCGAGATTTTGGCTAATGTAGGGTATTGTTTGCACCTAGAATTGCCTAAAATCTGGAAATTAAGTCAACTGTGTCTAAAACCCGAACCCGTCGTCAAGGGTCGGTCCCAGATCGATACGGCTGAGGCTAAATCTATCGCCCGTTCGGGTTCGTCTAATCGGTACCAGGATCGTCTAGAAAAATAAAACCACCTATTTGAACATCGGCTGGTCGCCGCATGCTCTTGTATAGGCCACATACTATTCAGTAGACGAGTTTGGCACTAACTAACCGAACCCGCAAAGATGGAAGGCTTGGAAGGCTAGGTGGCTTAGATGGACATCGATCCGGGATTCAAACCCGCGGAGTGCGCCACTTACCACAACACCACTTCTGCCCTGATATTACGATTAATGCAGAGAACTCAAAGCAAATATATATCAAGTTTGATTCTATAATCAGCACCTCTGTGCTGTTTCGTTGTGCATGATCTGTGCGGTGTGTTCACTTTGCATAGAAGACATATGTTCGTTGATTACCACAATGGCAGAAGAGTTGTGCGGTGGATCACCACCATCGACCGCAAAAACACGGAACTCAGCTGAGGTGTCCTGAAAATGGCGGAATCTTCCGAAGAGACAAACATCGGTAGAGAGCGTTCCATGACTGTTCTAGAGAACGATATTCTCGGCTACCAACAATTTTCTCTGTTTTTGCCGATTGCTTCGGTCAGTAGAAGTGGAAAATGAAAAGAGGTTCTGTAGTAACAATCGGCTGCATGGGAGCCGTGACTCGATACCTTACCTTACTCAGGACACCCTCGCCTGTATAGATCACTTCTCCGCTATCACTGATTCTGAAACGTGGGTCATCAGAGACGTATCGTATTGCATTGTTTGGAGCAGTAGCATCGGCGTCATCGGCTCGCACCGCTCCGATGACCTGAAAGCTGTTCGTACTCTTCCAGAACAAGTTAGTAGCAACATTTTTAAAAAAAAATCTCCCGAATCTCAATTAGATTAGAACCAATATTCGTCCAGGAACTAGCAGGATCTTTTTTACGCAGACAACGTTGAATCAAAAATCAAAGCTGGCACAGATGGTGGCACAAGGCTACGCTACTGTAAACATGGAACCACCCACATAAGGAGAACGGGAGACGGGGGCGGCGGTACTTCTCCCTCACTCCCCACTGAAAGCGGCAGTCATTCCACGATGACCTTTCTCTTCATAGCGACTACGCGCGAACGGATAGGATGAGGGCGTCGCGATTTTCGGGGAGAGGTTACCACACCTGCGAGACAGCTACCTTCAGTGAAAGGTCTGTTCATGTTCAACTGTTGTATCAGGAATCAGAAAACAAGAATCATTCCGAAAGAAGTCATTCTCATAGTGGGTAAGGACAAGTCCCCTTTATAAAGAGATGTTTAGTAGTAAAGCAGTGTTGTGAAAGTAATTTGGTTAGCAGGAATAAGGGGGTGTGTGTACATTCGTGCGATTCGAGCTGCGCGCGGCAAATTGCGCGGCGAAATTCATAGCTATTCTGACGAATTTAGCGCCTATTATTGGGGCCCAAATTCGCAGT